TATTCTATTTAGCAACGTCCTGAAGATATGATTCGAATGATCGGAACGATGATTTTTAGCTACTATCTACGACTCGTATTTATAACTAATTATCGTCTCACTAAACTGTCCAAGTTTACGGATAAATGGAGTAATTTGTGTCTGTCCAAACTTTTGGATATATCTGGACAATCTAATCTTAGTTGTCCAAACTTTTGGATATATCCGGATAGTCTGCGTTTTTGGCCTAATCTGGCAACATTTGCAATTATCGATGGCTGTGTTATTTGGATTTAATGTGCTGCGGAATCGGAGATTTGAACGGAAATCACGGAGGAATACGTCGTACTTAGGCCTCGATCCTGACAACCCCATTTTAGTAAATACAATACAATCATAATACATAACACTATTCTGAATGCAAATTCATAGCCTTAATAATTTTATTAAAGTTTCCAAGACATATTTTCAACTGACATAATAATTAAATTAAAGCTGTTGTTCCTATCCAATTTATTCTGAAAATTTAGAGATGTCAAAGATGAATTCAATTCCAGAGCTTTTCTCAAAGCTTTTGCTCTTGTATCTCTTGTCTGATTACCCTGAAGATTCAAAAAAGAGGAATTTGATCCAGAGCCTTTGCCCTCATTATTATATCTCCTATCTAATTCTAATGAAGGTGTAGAGATGTTAAACGAGAATTTGATTCCAGAGCTTTTGCCAATGCTGTTGCTCCTGCACCTTCCATACAATTCCATTCAAGGTTTAGAAATATTAGTGAAGAATTTGATTCCAGAGCCTTTGCCAAAGCTGTTGCTCCTATATCTCCAATATTATTCAGTCGCAGGTTTAAAGAAGTCAGGAAAGAATTTGATTCCAGAGCTTTTGCCAAAGCTGTTGCTCCTGCTTCTCCTATCTGATTCCATTCAAGGTTTAGAGATATTAAGGAAGAATTTGATTCCAGTGCCATTGCCAAAGTTGTTGCTCCTATATCTCCAATATTATTCAGTCGCAGGTTTAAAGAAGTCAGGAAAGATTTTGATTCCAGAGCTTTTGCCAAAGCTGTTGCTCCTATATCTCCTATCTGATTCCATTCAAGGTTTAGAGATATTAAAGAAGAATTTGATTCCAGTGCCATTGCCAAAGCTGTTGCTCCTATATCTCCTATCTGATTACCCTGAAGATTTAAAGATGCTAAAGAAAGATTTAATTCCAGAGCCTTTGCCAAAGCTGTTGCTCCTGTATCTCCTATCTTATTGCCCTGAAGATTTAAAGATGTTAAAGCAGAATTTGATTCCAGAGCCTTTGCCAAAACTATTGCTCCTACAACTCCTATCCGATTACCCTGAAGATTTAAAGATGTCAAAGCAGAGTTTAATTCCAGAGCCTTTGCCAAAGCTGTTGCTCCTGTATCTCCTATCTGATTACCTTGAAGATTTAAAGATGTTAAGGAAGAATTTAATTCCAGAGCCTTTGCTAAAGTTGTTGCTCCTGTATCCCCTATCTGATTATTTTGAAGATTTAGAGATGTTAAAGAAGAATTTGTTTCCAGAGTGTTTGCCAAACCTGTTGCTCCTGTATTTCCTATCTGATTACTTTGAAGGTTTAGAGATGTTAAAGAAGAATTTGTTTCCAGAGCCTTTGCCAAAGCTGTTGCTCCTGTATCTCCTATATGATTATACTGAAGATTTAGAGATATTAAAGAAGAATTTGATTCCAGAGCTTTTGCCAAAGCTGTTGCTCCTGCTTCTCCTATCTGATTACCCTGAAGATTTAAAGATGCTAAAGAAGGATTTGATTCCAGAGCCTTTGCCAAAGCTGTTGCTCCTATATTCTCTATCTGATTACTCTGAAGGTTTAGAGATATTAAAGAAGAATTTAATTTCAGAGCCTTTGCCAAAGCTGTTACTCCTGTAACTCCTAACTCATTCCATTCAAGGTTTAGAGATGTTAAAGAAGAATTTGTTTCCAGAGCCTTTGCCAAAGCTGTTACTCCTGCATCTCCAATCTGATTATCCTGAAGATTTAAACATGTTAAAGAAGGCTTTAATTCCAGAGCCTTTGCTAAAGTTGTTGCTCCTGTGTCTCTTATCTGATTATTCTGAAGATTTAGAGTTGTTAAAAAGGAATTTGATTTCAGAGCTTTTGCCAAAGCTGTTGCTCCTGTATCTCCTATCTGATTACCATAAAGATTTAGAGATATTAAAGAAGAATTTGATTCCAGAGCCTTTGCCAAAACTGTTGCTCCTGTATCTCCTATATGATTCCATTCAAGGTTTAGAGATGTTAAAGAAGAATTTGATTCCAGAGCCTTTGCCAAAGCTGTTGCTCCTATATCTCCTATATGATTATGCTGAAGATTTAGAGATACCACAGATGAAAAGTTCCTTAGAGCCTTTTCCAAAACCATTGTTGCTTTTGTATGTGTAATTTTATTATAAGCTAAATTTAATAAAGAGTATGCAGAGAAATTCAATTCAACAGCTTTTGCTAAAGCTGTTACTTCTTTATTTCCAATTTGACAATGACTCAAGTCTAATGTGTAAATTGGTAATTGGGTAATCGATGACTTGAGTAGCTTGTTGACTGTTTGAATTGATGGGCGTTTGTTAGGGTCTTCATGCCAGCATTTGGAGTATAGGTCAATATACCATTCAGAGGTTCCAGGAAAAGGAGAATCACGATAACCATTAATTCTGTACATTAAAACTTCATGACCTGTAGTAGCCCCTTCACATGGTTTTTTTCCACTTGAAATTTCCCAAAGTATCACCCCAAGACTGAAGATATCTGATTGTTTCCCGCGTTTATAAGTTTTGTCTTCATCTTTCAAAGATAATGGGTCAATATATGCCATATTTCCTTCACCTTTTGATGTGGATATAGTCTGTTTGAGAGCACTAGACAATCCAAAGTCTGTTATTTTTGTGATGCCTTCTTGGATAAGAATATTTGTTGATGACTATATATCAATTAATGTAGTAGTGGTAATAGTAAGCATTAAATTATGATTCCATATTAATATAAATTTCACAATATGTAAAAACACTATGTATCAACAACACATACCAAGTCTTTGTGAATGATTTCAAGTTCATGCAAATACAACAACCCGTCAGTAATCCCCAAAACCAGTTTGTATTTGTCCTTCCATGTCAGCTCAGGGAAATATTTCTGCAAGTGATCACGCAAAGTTCCACCGTCTGCATATTCAAACACCATGTGGTAGGGACCAGATAAATCTATTTATATTATAGGTAGAATAAGTTATAATCAATATGCATAGAAAAAGTAACATTAGTTAATGTACCTTGATATAACCCTAAGAATCGAATAATATTCGGATGATCATCCACCTGTTTATGAGTTCTCAGCTATTATATTATGGATAGTAAAATAATTCAGTTTATACAGCCTTTGACGCTATGCAATAATTAATAAAATAGATAACTATTGACGACCTCTTTGACAAACTTTTTATATAATTCTTTTTCACATCCATGCCCATTTAGGAACAAAGCTTTCATTGCGACTGGTTTCCCAGAATGTTTTATCTTGGCCTTGTATACAAGGCCATATCCGCCATGACCGATAGGTATACGATCTATTATTATTATGTCATCTTCCGAATAGTGCTTGATAAAACCTTCCCGAATACTTTTAGCTAACCACTCTTCATGCGTATTGCTTGACAATTGAACTTGAGACATTAATATTTAGGGGAAGAATAGCTTAACGCTGCGCTGGAAATGCCAAAAAATGTAGCCAATACACTCACTCTGTAATACGTAATACATTAAATTGGCGTTACTGTTACGTTATGGACGCAATTGGCTATCTGTCCCATTAACCATTGTTTGTCCGTGATAATTAGAAAATCAGTGTATGTAGAGTGAGCCTCAATGTTTTGTGTCAAAAGTTGCGTCGTAATCCTCCCCGTCGGTCGAGTGGCGACATCTGTTATGCTAAGAATGGTTAGTTAATATGTATTGTTATTTACGAGTGCGTTTGGGATAGGCACATGTATTTTATAATAATATGTAATATTAAATAAAATATTTACGTACCATCATCTTTACCATGGGAATATATATCATTAGTAATGTATATGAGAACGTGTGACCTCTTTGAGTAGTATAACCAATTGCAGTATAACGGAGCAAAACACTACAATTAGCTTTTAGGTAAGTGACATTAATATGTTTACGGGTTGTCCAACTTATAGCTTTTCTGCGTGGAACTCAGTCTGCATTATCAAGACGCTTTTTTACGTTGATGGAAATGCCGCTGAAGAAATTAAAACAGTTTGTTACAAAACAATTTTGAAATGGAAAGACTGCAGTCCATTGATGGGTACTTTGCAATGTGCAAGTCTTAGATGTAAGCCTACATTGATAAATCTTCCTACGTTCGCAGGCAGTTTTTTCTATATATGGAAGCTGACCGCACTAGATGCATGAATTGATTGCAATGTCGCTGAATAATTGAAAAAGCTTTTTGAAAAATCGATTGTCAATTAAGAGCTGCAAATTGAATTAAGGCAATAGAATTCACATTCACATTGTAAATCAGGTTCATGGGCCATTGTCCGTGTGATAGCAACGTGTGGCGAGTGTAATGCAACATTCTTAATATGGCCTGCGAACTGTATATAATATGTATCATGTAACACAGCTTTCTCAGCCCTAAAAATGGAACATAATCTTTGGCCCGTGATTTTGTATCACGTGTGATTGTGCACTGTAACAGTGCGGTAAATTTGAAAACCTCCTCGCTTTCAATTCATTCGCATAACACAATGTAAGCAAGCACTCGTCGAGTATGTGAACGACTTTGATGCGTCAGTATTAATGTAGTCTTTTGATAGGGGTCGAACCGCGCAACTTGTGATGGGACCAGCAGGAACTGGGAAGGTGACAATTGCATTACTTTCTTGCATTGGCAAGATGCGTTTGCCTTTATCTCTGATTCTTGTTTCTTGCACATTTTCTATAACATAGTCAACTTATTGCACGACGATGATGACACATTGTCAGACCATAAAACGCTCAGTCCATCTTTTTAATCTTGATCCTGCCGCCGAGCGATTTGAATATGAACCATCGATAGGTATCTTTTTACCACAACTCGTCTCAATCGGTCTTTCATTACATGTTATGATTGGCAAACCCATTGATCTGTTTTCCATCTTTGAAAATGTACAAGATATTCGTGAACTAATAACTCTTGAAGATGTAATGGATGAACTTCACTATGGTCCAAACGGCGGTCTAATTTACTGCTTAGAGTTTCTTCTTAATAATATAGACTGGCTTGAAGACGAACTCGGTGAATACTATGATGATTATCTCATAATCGACTGTCCTGGTCAGATCGAATTATATACTCATTTTCCTATAATACGTCGATTGTGCGAGTGTTTGCAGAGGATGAACTTTAGTATTTGTGGGGTATATTTATTGGAGAGTCAGTTCATAGAAGACAAGTCAAAGTTCTTTGCTGGGGTGCTTAGTGCTATGTCGGCTATGATTAGTCTAGAAATACCGCATATTAATGTTATGAGTAAGATGGATCTGTTGGGGGACGTGAATAACCAGATGATGGAGAGGTAAGGACATAATGGTTAATATGAAATGTAAGATTGCGGTGGTTAGGAAGAAAATAAGGGGATGGGGAGTGGTGGGCTACAAGCTGTAATATTAAGTTGCCGCTTTCAATTTTCTTGCAGATATTTTGATCCAGATCCCTTGCTTCTTCTTGAAGAAGTAAATAGAAATACAAACACCAGATATCATAGCCTAAATGAAGCCATCGCACAATTGGTATGAGCTATTTCTTGATGAACTGGTCACTTGACACATTTATTAGGAGTGCTTATGTATTTCTCTGTAGGTTGATGACTATAATATGGTCAGTTTTCTACCATTGAACATTCGGGATGAGGATTCGGTTGCTTCAATATTATCTCATATCGATAATGCAACGCAGTACGGGGAAGATCAGGAACCAACTGAACCGAAAGTATGTGCAGATTTTGAACGTGGACGAGTATATAATTAATTTTACCCATGCTAATGCTGAATGTATCTTCACTCATTTAGGATGAATACGACGAAAATGAATGAAATTGTATATATTACCTAGGCTAATTTGGATATTTTAATATTGATCGAAAGCTTTCTTTCTCCCTTGTCATACAGAATTGTTATTAAAAATCATTAATGAAATCTACAATCTCCATATCAAAACAGTGTTAATTTCAGTAGAGAAAAAGGTGATATCTCTAACCCAGATCTGACAACAGTATTAGCAGTTTATTAAAACCAAAGATTAAGTAGAGTAATATTGATATAATGATAATAATAATAAATATGGTAAATTGACATCCTGGCTAATTTTTTACAGCCCATGTCTTAATATTAATGAGAACAAGCTCTATATTAATATAAACTCACTACTGCTATACTAATACTTAATACTGTTATATTGATCAATTGCAGTTCAGGGAAGTTTGAATGTGAGCAGGTAGTCTTGATAAAAAATAAATTGGAGGGACATTTGTATATTGATGGTATAACTGGTATCACTGATTAAAACCCCTTTACAACATTGTGGAAAAAATAACTTGCATTTCAAAACTGCATTTAATTTGTCTATTCTATATTAATATTAACATACACAGGTCGAAATCGCTATAATATAAATAGTACTTTAAATTTACGTTGCAATTGAATTTTTCGGACCGTGATATTACTTATCTACTGTGCCTATTACTTTATACATTTGTATATTCCTGCGCTTTCTGCATGTCCATTAGAATGTCACTTATATCTGTTGGAAACGAAATCACCTTTCGATATTCCGTGATATTAATATGCATTCAGAACAGTTGATTTCACAAACAAAGGAACAAAATAATAATAAAGCCACCTGCAATATGTCATCCAATATCAACATTTAAAAGCAACGTTCTACTGAGTAGGAATTCCTTACAGACATCGTTCTATTCTTTTGAAATTTAATTTCGAAAAAAACAAAACACAATCTATCAACTAGCGAACAAACAACTGAACTTCGTTAAAAATCATAAAGTAAAATACTCTGTCGCAGTGCAATCAAACTCTAAGTAATCAAATATTACCATTTCTATTTCTATCTTCCTATAATACACTTTTTATGGAGAAAAAAAAGCGTGTCTTTAAATACTGTTGTCTTTTATTTATTTTGGCCTAAACGCTCCATCTCGAGAAGCGAAGGTTGTGACAAGAGCGATTTATTCGGCTTAACAAGATCTTTTCCAATTACACATACTTAATATGCTATTTTCAGCACATATATTTTATTGATAGTACAATAAAGAATACCCATTCTGTTGTTTAGTCACAATCGTTCTCTTTAATTTTTTAATTTAGATAAAAAGTAATATCGATATTGAGTTCGCTATCACAATCTTGCTATTTCATTGATGAAAATATTGGTTAACAGCTTAAAATATAAAGTTCACAAACATTGAATTCGCATTTATTTTGGTAAACAGCTTTGATTTGAGAAATTCTCAAGACATGAGCAATTAAATTGTATCAGACTGTTCCCTTGCAGTAGGGTGAATGAACACACAAAATGCAATCATGTTACACAGTTACACAGTTACACAACGCGGGTTTGATTTCACGCATTTAGGAAATTTATTTCGGTTGCAGATCTCCCACAAGATTATTTTCTCGATCCGTAAAAATTGAAAACGTTTCGTAAAAAAGATAATGTTTAGAAAGAAAAAGAGCAAGCGGGAGAGACCCGAATTTCCTCACGACCTTAACGCTCTAGGCTATAAGATCGATGAAGAGCAACTATTAAGAACACTAAACGGTTAGTTACATAAAATCACGATAAGGTCCATCGATATGATATATACTCATAGTTCTTAAGTATAGGCGAACCGTATGTATACGAACTAAAGGATAGAGCATATAATGAGGCTCTATACGACAAAATAGTCGGTTAGTGTTGTGCTTTGTTTCTTGACAAGTAGTGCTATAGAAGGCTGTTTTGTTCAGCTCATATACTAAACTGCTTCGTACATCGTAGAACTTGTGAGTGAATACGTCGAAGAGCAACTGCGATCAAATTATAACATGGTCAAGAAGATCCTTCCGATCGGAACCTCAGAAGATGCCATACACACGAAAATATACGTCAGGTATCAAAATCTAGCGTATTCACATTTATGTAGTCTCATCAGATGAGGGTTATCGTTAAACCACGTGTTTTATTAGCTCAGATTACCTGACTAAACAAAACATGATCGTATTCATACCAGGACTTACCAACAAGTAATTATGTTATAAGTTACTTGTTTTCTTGTTTAACATCGTTCTCTACGTAGATAAACTAACTCGTCCTTTGTCCAAGATTTGGATTATGGTCCAAACGATCTATGACGGAACACAGCGTCAAAGTAGGGGCATGATTAATCATAGTTTCCTAATTAATTGACTATAGCCTAATGCTGTTGTAAATTTTGTTTGTCCTTAGGTCGGATCTGTGCTTTCATACACTGAGCGCGCAATCAATATGGGGTTTTCTGTCGTCGTTACCAACCCCAACGAAATATACTGGTATAAGAATAAACCAACGGCAAGTAGCTTTATAGAACGGGGAAACAAAATCAAGTGATTTCGTGTATTTATGCTCATCCAAAAGAAAAATTGGTTTCCACTTTGATAACGGATAGGCAAACATCACAAAAGCTAAAACTCCTTATGAGACGGTTCCAGGTGAGTTACTGAAAAGGCTATTTTGGTTGACACATGCATATTTCACGTGGCTAACAACTTTATCTGATCCGACAAGAAAATGATTCGCCGGAGCTCCACGTTGATTACGTATTCCAGCATTTTGTAATGTACGTCGATTTTTATTTTCTTGCACGGCGTAATTGTTGGTATTGGTGTAGATTTTCACACACGTATCGGCTCGCAACATTTCAGCCCCTCAGCTGCCCAGAATATATTCGTTGTTGCAAACAGTTATGGAGCCTATAGTTTTGTAGAGGTCATACAGAGGCATTGTATGTATATTGTTTGGAGATTTTTGTAGATTTCTGTCTCGTCGTTAACAAGAATTTGGCGTATTTTATAGTTGTAGAATTAAAAGACAGGGTAAAAGCCGTAGACTTTACCGCGAGCACTCACTCGATCGATTCGGTCAAATCAGATAAAGTCAAGAATTGGATTCGAGAGGTATGTAAACTACTGATGAACAATGCTACTATTACATACACATGACTCCTTAAGAACTGACTGTCAAAGTACGACTCGGTCTTTAATCATACTACGTAGCATTGTCGAAACTGGGTTGTGTCTGATAAACAACTCGGTGAAGAAGTGATCGACCCGCGCTTTGGATGCGTCAATTACTCAGGCGGTAAATAACCACTTTCAAACAAGTGAACTCATTCCATTGAACAATTACAACTTTGCGTACTAACTCTGGTTTCCTTGCTCGTTATTGCAGGTGACGATTTAATAGAATATCTCCTCAAAACTTGCGAATCCCAGACCTTCTCCTACATCCACCAAAGACTTACGGTCCCTTCACCTTCATCGGACAGTTACGTCGAACCCGAGGAACTCACAGAAGCGGAGCTGTTACGAGAAGCAGAAGCTATATTCCAACATGGTGGAGTGGAGATTAGGAGTTGGGCGAATATTGAGGAAGACGGTTGGGGTGAAGAACCTACAATTCAAAACGGAGCAGGATATGGCTAAGATTAGATATTATTGGAAAATTCTATAATTTCGGATTGTTATATTTCAGTTGTTGAAGGTAGTGAAGGCGTGTAATGAATGTTCATAAACATATGCATGACAACTGTAAGATATTATCATCAAGACAGACGCGGGATGTGAATTTGAGTAATGTGGGACATTTGCAACTCCCTCCTTTTATAAGTGGCCAGGGATGTTGTTACCAGCTTGTGCATAAATATTTTTACGAAAAGTCCGACTGTCATTGGTACACGTTTATCATACACGCAGCCTATTAACAAAAAAAAATTTTGGTTTGAAACTTTAATAGGAATGTCGCAAATAATACTACTCAAGCCACTGATTGTAATTTGATGGCATAACAATATTAGCATGGCCAAGATCAGGAGCACCAAAAAAACTCATCACATGATCTCTGATGCATTCTAAAAACTTCATGTTACCACATATCCTCACCATTTTCATTAAACTGTTGGATTTAGCTTTAGTATTTAAATTTATTTGGTTATTAATGTTATCCACAACGGCCATACATTGTAGAGTTTCCTTAATACAATCGCAGCGTTAGCTCTCAAGGCATCTACTTATCAGAACAGCTACGCTGTGTTATGTTTTTTAGAATGCGTACGTATTACTATCTATCGCGAGGACAGTTAGATAATTACGTGACAATGACAATCACGTGATGTTCGATATAGATGGTGCTGTCCGGAGTTGAGCAAATAAAAAGGAGATTATTTCCGAGATGTACCACAAAAATATTTGATGATAATAACAACCACTACATATGGTTCCGAAATCTTCAAGGTTTCTCCGAACAGTTTATTCCCATTCACCCTCCGTTAATTACTCTATCGACCAAAAATGTCCGAACTGCAAACCTTAACGCCCAAACCATCACAAAGCGGATGGCGAGATTTTGTAGCTGGCAGGTTTGATAATATTATTTGATCAAACTCTGAAAAATGTATTTGTTTTTTTTAAGAGGGATATGTTAATTGAGGGCAAATTGGTTTTTATAATTATAATCAATTGGGGGTTTTGTTTTTTTGGTATAATTGGGGTTGGGTTATAGTTTTGCTGGAATGGTGAGTCTGAAACAGTAGTGGAAAGAAAAATGTGCATCTTTTTCTTAGGGATTATGTCTCGTTTACAATTTCAATCGATCCCTTTTTGTACAGGCACAAGTGGCGACTGGGCAACCTTTAGATACCGTAAAAGTGAGTTGGAAGAAACAAATTATTGAAACTGTTTCCGTGACAAGATGCGTTTGCTAAATACGATTATGTAATTTCTTCTAACAGGTAAGAGTCCAAATAGATCCACATCGATATAAAGGTCCGTTCGACTGCATTGTCAGAACTGTTCGAGAAGAGTCGATTTTCGCCTTATATAAAGGTATTTATACCCGACTTTTTGATATTAGCCTCTCTTACATCTGCATAATTACGAAATACTAGCGACATACTAACCGTATTAAACAATCAAGGTATGGCGAGTCCATTAATTGGAATAGGAGCGGTGAATGCTTTACTGTTTGCCGCATACTCAAAGTTTAAACAGATTCAGAGTCCCTTCAATGGCGAACTGGAGATCTGGCAGATTGCACTTGCTGGCGCAGGGGCGGGTAATTATGTTTTTTAACCTCAAGCCGATGCAATAATCTCTGCTTGCCTTTCTATCCCTGCCTATACCACGTCTAGATCTACTTACACTTTTCCCCGATCTGTCTTTAGGAGCAGTCAATTCAGTCTTGGCCTCACCGGTTGAACTTTTAAAAGTGCGTCTTCAAGCGCAATATACTCCTCGGTCCTCTTCAATTCCTTCACCTACACTGAAACAATACAAAGGTCCGGTCGAACTCGCATCGCACTTGGTCTCAACCCATGGTATTCGTCATGGTCTATTCCGTGGATTTTGGGCAACTTTTTTGCGAGAAATTCCGGCGTATGCCGGATTTTATGCCGGATTTGAGTACACAAAAAGGAAGTTTGGAGGAAGGCATGGGGTCGAATTGGGAGTCGGACAGTTAATGACTGCTGGAGCCGTTGGTGGTGTGTGTTATTGGTTGAGTTGTTATCCATTGGACGTCGTTAAGAGTATGGTAGGTCATGGAAAAGCGCGAAAGATTATTTTTTTTTGTATCTGTGTTTTCGTACTTTTATAATCTAAATTGTTTCTTGTAAACAGGTACAGGGTAGCGAAAAACCTCAAGAGAGGTTTTATGTTTTCAAGACAATAAGAACAATTTATCGACAAGATGGTCTACGTGGCTTTATGAGAGGAATGTCACCTACGAGTAAGTTAATGCTTATTGTGATGATTCGATATCACATGCTAAGGATAATCTGATCTGATACATGTTTTATTTCTGTAGTCCTGAGAACTATCCCTGCTGCAGGAGCTACGTTTACTGTTTATGAATTTTCGATGAGAGCTTTGAATAAAATGTGATAAATTCAACATTTTGTGAAAAAACCCTTCCCTTGTACTTCAATGCCTCATATGACTAGGTAGTGAGAAATAAACGTCAATTACTGCGAAAATGTATTAGATATTAGCAACTTTTGGTAATAATAATCGCAGACAAACTCGCAAGCAATAATGACCTGTTGTATCTTTTGCAATTAATCGATTGCGGTTTTATTACTCTGTTTCCTACTTCTGTCTGTAATCTTGGAAGGGTTTATAATTTACCGTAATTGCAATATTTTTCGTAGTCATCGTCACGCGCGTGATGGAACTAATTAGAGATATTCAAAAATTGTCACCTCAAAATGGTACCGGAAGCTTTGAACTTGAAAAACTGCAGATTCGTTTTACAAATAGCCCTGGCCCTGTCGTCAACTTTGTCGGCTGCTGATGGCTAAAGCTTTTTCCTGCGTCTATGATTATCTGTCCTGCATGCTTTCTCATAAATCGATGCGACACACATTGAGGCCGTAGCTGTTTTGCAACGATTAAAAATAATTGTATAAGTTATAATGGACAAAATTTCAGGGTAAGCATTTTTTGTTGTCTGATACGATGCAATGGAAAGTAAAAAATAAATTATTTAATTTGTTTAATCCGCGTTCGATCAAACGTTGAATAATATCTTCGTCATTATCGACCCAATTATTACCAAGATTGATGGCACTTACGCAAGAGCAGGCTATTTCGTGTAAGTGCTGACATCACTTTTTTTCATCAACTACGCATGTCAAGTTTTACCAAGTTATTATGCTGTACATTCTGTAATACCGAACACATAGAAGAATTAATGCCTGAAACCAAGCCTGGATTTAAATGTCTTTTTCTTTTTGATATACATAAAATAAAATTAACGCTACTTCTCTCGATTTGATAAAAAAGTCACTGAAGTTGGATATACTAATATAGAAACCAACTTTACTCAAATCTTTTAATTCTACAGTTGCTAAAAACCCGTTAAAATTATTATTTTTGAAACTGCGTCCTAAAAATATGCATGTCATTGTGCATTCTTTCGTGAAGTTGACTTTACTGTCCAACTTTTGTATTGAATCAGATAATTTTTTTCAACATGTCATCACCAATTGACGCGCGCGCTGATAGCACTACCTGCATCTTATGTTGGATTTTTTTAACGGCTACTTTGATTTCTTTTCAATAATTTTGTTGTTAATTCGTCTGTCTTTGGCCATACATAATACAGTAATGTTTTGTATGCATGTACCGTCTTGTAACTACTGCATCGCGCAATTTTGATGTTTCATGAGATGAGAATAAGATGTACAAAGTTCATGTTTAAAGGTGTAGTAAGCACAAACGAGCACATAAATGTATGAATTAAGTCTATTCAGTATTATAAAGCTGTGCCGGCATGAATGATAGTAGCGTTATACAATTTGACCAGAATACAGTGGTTAAGTTGGTATCCAAAGTTTTTATTAGACACATTAACATAGGAGACAAAGCATGCCATAGAGCTGAGACAATTTTAATTTATAATCATTCAAAACACCAGGCACACCACCTCACTTCTTCTTTAATCTATTTTCTGCTTCTGAAAAAGCGTTTTCTATAAATGACAGACATCTTTAACCAGATGTTAAATGACAAAAATCTTCAACTCTGCTAAAATAAAAACAAACTATCACTACAACTGAATCTTCCCAAAGTTGAAAGCTATTCGAATTTCAATTGTATGTGATATAAAATGGTTATTTTCGACTAACACTATACTCGTATGAAGATTAAACTGATATCCACCCGCTTTCTTATCGCATACAATACTCTTATTTCTTTAGCCTTATTGATAAATAATGTCCTATCCCATTTATTCAAACAGTTACGAACAATCCTTATTTCTCTCACTTTTTCAGTAGTATTGTTCATAAGGTTTACTATACTGCATACTAAAGCGATATACTATATTGTCGTACCACTACTATGACTTTAGATATTTTTATCCCCGAATAATTGATCTAGGTTACAAGAATTTATTCTAGCTGATTAAATGTTGTGTAATTTTACTATTAATATTTGCTGATCTTGAAGGGCATTATCTTGGCTATACTAATACTTCTCGTCTACTGGTTAAGAGATTTTTTCATAGTATCCGTTATTTATCATTGACAGTCTATCCGTTCGGTATTAGTAATCAACAACACTTAAAAATATTTTTGGATTGCATTATTATTTTTAATCTAACCGTGAGAAGCAAATACTAATAATAGAATATGTTATTACCTTTGTGGCGCAATGCAATGATATAACTTTATCGGTAAGTAATCGTTCTATGAAATCAATAGCCTATAGTAACACAGAAAGCAATGCTTATAGAACTATACTGCGCTTACGACAGATATGATGTCATTAGGATAAGCGATTAATAACCACACGCATAAACAGTGGTTGATTACATCATTTGTGCTTTCCCCTCACGTAAATTTAGGAATACACAGTTGGATTAATTTTAGATTAAGTGATCCTATTTCCGTACGTAGCAACTTGACTTATTATTACAGATGAGACCGTTGAACATATCCTGTCATTGTGAAACATCTGTCTGTGTCAGACATTTGTTCTTGAGCTTAAAACGGGCAACAAGTATCCTAGGATATGAGCAATTAATTCCATATGACAAGTGCAGCTATATTCTAAATTGTATTCATTAATAAGCAATTCATCAGTTTCTCGATCTATTTTTTTTTTATATCGTTCAGATTGTAGAAGATGGTGTTGTACAGCATTCTTGTGCATGTACCACAACGCCGCCGACGCCGAGTTTCCGTTTTGACTGGACATCCTGCCTGACATCCGTGTTTCTTAACAATTGAATGACTTGCTTACAAAAGAGGCAGTGTAGACACTGACTATAACAATACGTTGTTCATTTGTTTGCTTTCGATGTCAGGGAAGAGTATCAGATATCAAGCGAAACTGAATTCTCCGTGATGGATGGAGCAAATTATTTTAACATCTGTGCGACAAGTTTCCCCTGGTTGAGTAATATAATTACAAGTGGACAATATGAAGTTACCATATGTATGACTCATCAGGATTTAGCATGCTTACGGACTTACGGAATAGTCTGTTTGCAAATATTTATATTACATTACGCAGTAACTTGTTTTGATTAGTCTAGTTTATGCATATGCTATTTGCTCATTGTTATTCCTAATAAGGTCGATATTTGATGATGTGTTCACAAACTCTAAAATGCTCTACTCTCAAAAAGGCAAAGTCTCAATGAATGACGGATCTGTCCAGCAGAAGAGAGACCGTTGTTAAAAAAGGTTAGAACTTTTCACTAAATGAAACGTTACCTAGTTCGAAAAAAAATACTTTCTATCAAATAAATAAGGGTGGGGGGAACATACCCCTTAACAAAATTCACTCCTCGATCAGAGCAACATGCAAAAGCTAATTACAACCATTTCTTTATTCTTGATATTTATATCGGTAAGCAGATATCATCAAGGTCCCTGTTTTAAAGTGTCGTCTTGCTATTACTAATTGATAACACCGTTTAGTTGAATAAAGTTAATTCTCAGATATCAGGCGACGTCTTCTTGCCAGGACAACAATCATGGTAAGGAACGAGAGAATTATAGCATTATTCATGATAGCATTGTGACCTCTATTATTCAATCAAAGGTTCAAATGTTCACCGAAGCCGACGAGCATATTCGGTAAGAATCACACTCACTCTTGAGAATATATGGATGGCAACCTTGGACATATCCATTTTCTTATTTCTCTCCGCTTTAAACACAGACTATGTTGTCTCGGTATCCGCCCAAACACTCGATCAAACACCAAACTTTGGTAATATTGTAAACATTACTGTTGCACCTATCAATAATTTATGTGCAAAAGGTATCGTTGTCGATGCTGTGACTTCTGTTGAGCTCGTAAAATTTCTTGACAGCCAGCAGCAATCGTTTACACCATGGAATTTAAAATCATGGTTAGTACATGATGATATTAGATTGTGTTGTTTCATTTGGGTTATTAAATAGATATGCAAAGAGTTAATTTCCGTTTTCCTCATGCTAATACTTTTTTTTCCCCAAAAGCCAAGATTGTGTGTATACCTGTAACAAAAACGATTCCACCATCCAACCTCCAAACATTGCAATATGGTGTCTGATTGTAAGCAACGTCAGTGAGGATGTTGCAGTTTCGTTCAGCATGGATATGATGATCGATCCCGACATGGTTACGGCTACATCCACAACGACATCGGCAACAGCAACAGTGATGGTAATCACTAGCACATACAATCCAACTGCTACTCCTAGTACTGATGATTCAACGCCATCGTGGTTTTCTGGGAATGAGCGAATAAAATGGAACGGCAAAATTATTGTCGGTCTTGGACTGGGGTGGATTTGCAATTTTTTGATTAGTTATTACTCGATGATGTGGTAACTTACTTGTTGTAATTAAAAGTGCTTAATGTTAATAATAGTAATACTGTCAAGTTTATAAGACTTTTAAGGCGGTGATAATCGAACGTATAATATTTAACTACTTTGTTGTGGAAAACTTTATTAATTTAATGTCTTACCAATCTAACTTTATTTTTTGGCAACAAAATGTGAGTATGAAGAAAAAAATTCTCTAATTTTTAATTACTGTACAAATAAAAAAATTTATGGCTTGTATACAAAATTGTAATTCATAACCTTGGATTATAATTTTTTGTTTTATTCCAAGTCTTAGTTTCACGTACAAATTACACGGCTGCTTATTCGCAAGTCATACATTTTGTATGACAAAGTTTGGATAATCGTACTTCAAGATTGAAATGCGTGATATTAATAGACCCAAGTCTCACAGAATCTTTATATTAGTTACAATATATTTAATATATTTATGATATCTATTTTTCGAGCCGACGAAAAGATTTACATTATAATATGTGATAATTACTGAATGTAATTTTTTCTAATTCGAGAATATTTCTGTCTCAAACGTTAATTTGTAATTATAATATTCTGTCATACTTTTGCTGAGAATAAATTTACTTTTTGTTATTTAAATAGCTGGTAACTTTTTATGCAACATCAGCATATTTACGACAGACAAGAAATAATTCTTAAATAACATTCACAGGCTAACATTTTATCTAATACAGTTTATTTTCAGTGATACTCGCAATGAGTATGACTCTCAACAAAACTTAATAAATTATATGGTAAGTTTAAGATAAACACGGACAATAAGTTACCTTGATGAATAATATTTTATTCCCAAATTTTATTATTACTTGAATATAGCAGTACAATGTTTGCCCATGTACTGGGAAAACAAAGTTTCTATTGTTTAACTGACAATCATAATTGAAACATAAGCAATCTAGCTAAATGATTGGTAAACTTTCCACCACAACAGGTGAGAGTCACAAATAATATTCTGGTTCCAAATTTTGTGAAAACTCAAATGGTTCTTACATGAGCAAGGGGTAGATAAGGTTGCCATGCTTTCTTTGCAGCACATTTATTATTATAGCCTACTATCAACTTTACTATATTATGTAAAAATGAGTATATTAAACTAAATTGTAAACATATTTAATAATAAATAAATTCCAATCTTTTATTTCAATATACAGTATCAAATGTGAAAGACAAATTTACTGTGTTTTCTATTTTTAATAATACTGTAAATCTAAACTTCTTAATGCTATGATACCCCCTTGTTCAGCAACTTTTAATATAATTCAACAGTTCAATCCATTTCTATAACAGTTACCAAGATGAAATTGCACTCTACTATTCCCTTGTTCAGCAGCTTTTTGAAATAATTCAATATCAACAGCCTTTTGCTCATCATTTTCTACTCCAATTCCATACTGATAAAAGCAACCAAGACTGTACAGCATGTCATTGTTTAGCTGCTTTGGATACCATTATTCTCTAGCAAGTGTGAACGCGATGGGCTATTCCTGAGGGTTCTTCTCAGCATCGCTTCATGATGGGCTTGTGTGATTAACGATT